CACTTTGAACAAGTACCTTTATTATCGGCCGTGTTTAACAGACATCCCTCTCGACTTCGTTCTCCGTTACACGCCAGATTTCAATATCAACCCGTGTAACTCGACTTGGTGGAAAAAAAAAAAAAAGATATCTTACTCTCCTTCGGCAAATCTTCGTGTTTCTCGAAGGATTGGATTATCTAATTTGACATTTAGAGAGACGTTTTTAAAAAACTGATTGATCGAAGATTTGATTGAACTTGATCGAAGATTTAAATGTGGGACGAAGTGGATGTATCTAGGTATAACTAGATATTTATTTAGAAGGAAGAATCTTGGGATATGCGATTGTAAAATAGATATATATACGAAAATATATTGGGACATGTGTGCATTAATTTCTTTACAAAATACAGAAAGAAATATGTAGAAATATATTTTATAAAGATTTTTACTTATTGAATATTTAATAGTTATTACTCTATCAACCGAACTCCTGTCAATAATTTATCCCAGATAATTACAATTCTCCCTTATCCTCCTAATTAATTTCTTAGAAACTTTATCCACGAGTCAATTTCACGTATATCGTAATCAAAATTATTTCTTGATCGTATAGAAGATACATTCGATCTATTCTCCCTATAAATAATTCAAAAACTAAATATATTTATATATAGATCCTTTCCCTTTTATTTCGACGAAGAAAATATTCTTAACAATACTTCTGACCATCCTTACTCGATACAAGAGAATATCTATCATTATTTTCGATAAGATCCGACAAAAATGTTTTCCAGAAACGGCCGACAATAATATAGAATATCATTTTTCGCGAGGGTCCAGTTAATGGATCCGCAATATGTATCTCTGAGGTGGTGATTTCGAGGAAGTCATAAGCCTGCCGGTAATTTTCCGCGCATTATACCTCTCGTTACACCCACGCGAGCAGATCAACGGTTCACCTCGGCCGTCTTTAGTTCACGACGTGAGCGAGCATTATCGCTTCTATATTACGTCCGTTGGATCCTTTTTCCGTCCAACTTGCACCCCATTTTATTTCAGTTTCTCGTTCAAACGGAATAACGGAATAAAAAAAAAAAAGAAAAAAGAGGGATTCATAATCCTTTGTGAGATAAAAAAAATCTTGATAAACGTGAAATTTGAATCATTGAAATTTTAAATTATATTTTAATAACGTATTATTAAATATCCTGTTAATGATATACCGTAGTATAGTGTTTCAGATTTGATGTTTCATTGTGGAAAATATTCTGGGAAAATATTACGGATAAACGCTTATCCAATTATCTTGTTGGAATACTGATCTATCCGACTTTAATTTAAAAAGATGTAATATCCACATCAGCAAGTATTGATTTATTAATGCAAATTATTTCTTTGCTATCTGCAATGTAATTATTCTTTATATTCATATATTCATTCTGTAACAATCTCAGATTAACGAGAGCTAATTCTACTACGTTTGAAAAGAGGGAAATAAAAAAAAAAAAAAAGATAGGAAACATGTCGCGAAATATTTTATCGAGAGAGGATGAGAATTTTTAAAAACAATAATCTCGAACGCGACATGCGGCAGACAAGATTTATGCACGTCCCTTCGATGATGGAGCAATCATTTATTCTCCATATTAATTGATTATTCAGTTCCGATCGCGTATGAGAGATGATATATGACTCGATACGATACCACGTTAAGAACAAGAAATCTACTAGTCGCGCGTGCATAAATTACCAACATTGATAACGAAACCCACGCATTTTCTTTAGATCTTGTTTTTTCTTCGTTTGTACAGTGTCATGTAGTCGATGCCGGCATTTGGAAACGGCTAAATAAGTGGAAAGCGTTTCTTCACACTTTCAGCCGGGTAAGAAGATGTCTCCTCTCTCGCCAGACGATAACGAAATGAATTATATTCATGAATAATTCCGTTGAGTTCCGTGAACGCGAACAGAATATTCTTACTAATCGTTCAATATATTTTATAAAGAACGATACATCGACATCGATCGTCGAGAAGAAATTTCTTTTGCTACCAACGATCATTTATCTTAAATAGATTTCCAAGTAAGTATAATCAATTTAGAATTAAAAAGACGTAAATTTCTATAAATATTCCCACTTCTATTTTCCGATCTTCTAATATTCGATTAAATAACTTTTCTCAAAGTGGATTTTGAGAACCCTGTGTTACCATCCACAACCGGTGTCCGACCAAATGACCAACATGGCGTGACCCAAACTCTCCAGAACTTTCCCCATACAGGGGATCCCCTCCGCCGCTGAAATTTTATGTATCCCGGTGGAACGGAGAGGGAAAAAGAGATATGCTTGAAAATCCATGTGGCCAGGGTATCCAGAAACGGCTGGGAAAGAATGTGGTTACCGGACGTGCAGGTTGCATCGGCCGGTGAAGAATTAGATGAAGATAGAGGTACTCGTGATGCATGATCACGATTAGTCAAATAGGCGGGGACTTATTACAGATAAAGGTTTACGAGGGTAGGAACCAATGATGGGATGTGTGCATCGAACAGATAATAAGTATATCATAAGCATTATGATCGATTTGTAAAACCCTATTTGAGATTGATCCGCAATTAGGTGCACGAAAACATTTTACACTCGAGGAACGTGCCTCAAAATTCTCGAATACCTAAAAGGAATCATGCCTCGTTAATTCTCTCTAAAACGTATAATTGGAAACGTTAATTAGATTACATACGAGCGTGCATCATTAACGGAATGGCATAAACTTGTTTCTTTTTTTTTTTTCACATATTAAAATAATAGTAGCTCGTTAGAAGAGGAACAAATTTTTAATTAAACGCCTGATAAGCAAAAAATAATACCAATTTTTAAATCTAAAAAATACTTGATGGAATTTTTAAATCTTGATTAAATATGAATAATATTTTTTAATTGAGAGGATATCTATTGATTAATTAAAGATATTATTTTTCTTTGCGATATATTGTGAGAAAATAATTTTAAAAAAATGATAAATCTATTAGTGATAAATGAAGTTCCACTATCAAAACGGTAAATCAAACCTAAATTGCTGTATATGGTTCGTGTCGCGACAAGTTACATGCAATTACATCATCCCGTCTCGAATAGTTTATTTTTTATCGAACATGTGTCGGAATATTCGTAAAGGCTAATCGAATTTTTTAGAATAAGTAAAATCTTGATAGAAAAATAGTTGCAAATACGATCGATTTGTGTTTCGTTGAAATAAAATTCACTACGTTGATTATATTTAAAAGATATAGCTACTTTCGATATCGATAAAAAAAATATGGCGGCAAGAGATTATAAGGTTAATATAAAAAAAATGGACTTACTTGTGAACCACCCGTTACATTCAAGAACGTTGATGTTCATAGCGTACCGAATGTACGTGAAAACGTGTAATTTTACGAACACACCGCTACTTCTCAAAGAAACTTGGTCTATACACCGTACGCATTAACTCGAAACAACACTTAAACATTAAATCGATTTCTCTTTACCGCGCGCGTCTCACGATTCAACCATACGAATATTTAAACGAGCGCATTCACCACAACGTGTTTTCAGTCCCGGTCGACAGTCAGCTGGTGAAACGAAGTGGTGGAATCGGTCAGGGTTCGTCGAGAACAGAGTGGTCACAGTGTAGCTCGTGCCCCGGCAACATCGGCTTCGCCACTATTCTGTAGTTGCACATGTTCCTTGCTATTAAGGAGTCTTCACACTGATCACATCTGCGTATACGTCACTACGTCACAATCAACATAAAATAACGTTCGATTCAGCGTGCTAACCTATAACATACAATTAACAACAAATAAGACATAGTGACATGATTAACAAACAATTCGTAATTAATTTATAACAATCAGTCAGTGAAAATAATTATTAAGCGTGTTTACATGAAGAATTGAGAATTTACCATTGTTTTTTACGAAATCTGTCATAACCAATATTTTCATTTTGTCTAAATGTTTGAATTATTTTTCATGATGTGTAACACAATTGATTATCTGTTTAAATTTTGTGAAACTGAATAACTGAAAACTGTTCTCGATGATCAAAATATAAGATAAATTCGTGACACGCGGTAATCGTGACAGTTCGGTATGCGTGGACGCGAATTCTTGGCGCGCGACAAACAACGTAATGACCATCGATGTTAACGGCAACGTGCTTCTACTACCAAGAAAACGAAACTAATCGTCGCTACAGCCGACAGGACGTCTGTTCTTTTCTATTTTTACACCGAACACCGAACTCACAACACACACATTTCCTTTACACGTTACGCGTAAAACTGGCATTCCAGGTCAAGCGTGCTTGTCGAATTTTGATTCGTCAAATTAACACGGGAGGGAGACAATGTCACTATTTCGAATCAAAATTTCTAAATTTGTATATTTAGTTACATTACATTAAAAATTTACTTGAATTTTATAAATATTTTTTTTATTTTAGAATTTAAATAAATCTACTAATAAAAATATATTTATTTATGATATTATGATTATTTCGATAAACTTTAAACTTTATGGAATATAGATCGTATTATACTATTTTAAAATTTTCTTATTCACACGTATCGATAAAATAACAAAATTACTTTCAAAAAGGAAGTATAAGTACTTAAAAAAAAAAGAATATCGAGAAAGTATCTCCATACAGAAATATGCTTTATCGATACAACGAATCGAAGAAAAAAGTTACCTAAAGTTACCTCTGACCAGGCAACAGGTCCTTGCCGACCAATCGAACTCGAGAGTTCCTCGCCGTCTTTCGGCTCGATTCTCTAACTGATTTCGAGATCGATTTTGTCGACTTAAAAATGCGAATCCTTGCTGGAACCGAATGTTGGATCGAACATGCAAAAAACAGTCTTGTACCTTTCGAGATATACAAGATTCGTAATTTTTAACGCAAAACGAACACCATTTAATATATAGTCCGAAATCACGCGTTATATTAGGCCCGTAATAATTATTTATTATGTTTCCGGCCTAAGAAGAGTACTTAGTTCGCGTAGTTGAGTGCGGGCGTAATAAGACTGCCTGCTGACGGCGGTAGCGCGGTTTGTGCCCGCAAGCAGCAGCAGCCAGGGAAGCCCCTCTACCATGGCACTCTCCTGCAACTCCTCCAAGCAAGCCAGCCAGCCATCCGTGCCGACTTGCCTACCAGGCCTCAGAGTGGGTCCCGGCACTACAGTTCCATCCTGAATCGAAATGGTTGCTTTGCTTTCCGTGCTTTGCGCGAATCACGCAAGACCCTTCAGGCACGCTTCGGGGGACCGAAAGGGGTCCCCACGTGCTGGATTTAGCCCGCGGCTGCACAGTCGATAAAGAAGTTTAAAATATCTGTCCCTTATAACAATACGATTAAGTCACGATACATACGGAATAAATACGAGATAGCAGCATTATATTGTGGCAGCTTATTAAACATTAAATGCATTCAAATGCTCGTTTTATGATAAAAAAAAATATATATATATATATATATATAATAGTTTGAAGTAAGATTATAATTAAAGATAATATAATCTTATTTTCTTTTTATGAAAATGGTGGTCCAAGTTTCTTCAAGTTTTTTAAAATTATTGGTTTTGTAACCAAAGCTCTTTGAATTGAATCTATTAATACACGTTGCTGATTATACGGAGGAAATGGCATTCCTTCGAGATTATATAAATATACGGCACCCTCTATATTCGCCACTGCAATTTGATTACCATTCGCCGTAAAATTAATCATAACAAATCTAGCGGTATTAGGTGATATTGTCACTGAGGCAGGTTTGTATATTTTCCGTCTAATATCCCATATGCAGATTTCATTGTTGACGATACTCGCTATGATCGTGGAATGAATTGGAGACCAAACTGCATATCGAACGCATGCCATTGTCGTAGTCAAAGTGATCAATGGATCTGTTAGCCCTTCTGCCCAAATTCGAATGCACCAGTCAGCGCCACAGGTTAAAAATATTTTTTCACAAAATGGAGAAAACATCATTGAATAAACTGGTCCATCATGCGCTAGAAAATTATCTATATATTGGTATAAATAATTTGTTGAGCATTTATAAATACAACCTTCATTTGAGCCAATAAAATAAATATTACTCAAAGTCGGATGCTTTTGTAATACTAATGCGCCAGGACTTCGACTAATAGATACACCAAAAAAATCACATTGAACAGTTCTCTTAACACCTGGCAATATTCCTTCTATTCTAAAAACTTTCATAATCGTCATCGAAGTAAAATCTTCGACATATCGATAACAGAAAATGCAACCATCTTCATTACACGTATAAATTTGTTCTTCGTAATCATATTGTTCGTCACCTGGCCACCATTGAACTTGCCAGTGCGGAGAATTTGAAGAACTTGTACCCTTTTGACTTCGTCGTATAATATTAATGTCTGGTTTACTCACATCGATTACCAAGATTTCGCCATTATAAAAACCAACAGCTAGTAAATTTGGTCGATCACGACTCCAATCGAGATCTGACACTTGAGTGTCGAAATAATATCGACGAGCTGGATTGCCAGGATTTTTCGCAGACCAAAGAAAAACTAAGCCATTTTTAATTTCTGAATTATCTCGCGCTCCATATCCTACAGCTAAAATACTTGTGTTAACATAATTCCAACGCAAAGAAGCTACTGGCCTTCCCAAAGTTTCTTCAGAGCTATGAATCCAAAGAAGATCCAGACTATATGTGAATTCTAAATCAAGGCTACATGGATCTTGCTTGACTAAACCGGTAAAACGTTTTTGAGCATCGATGAAAATGTTGTTCGATATTATACTCTCCATTATTCGCACAGCATTCCGGAAGTTATCGTGATGGAATATATATATCTGCTCTTCGAGAAGGGTAGGCATCTCGACTATTTCAGACTTTGGTAATTTAGATTTCAAATTCTACGAAAATAAAATTAAAAATAATTATTTTATGAATTTATAAACATTACTGTAATTTTTATATGAATAAAATTAAAACGTTTATATGTTAAAAATTGTTCAAACCTGCGCTTCTAGCATCTTTTGTATAGATTCCTTTCTATGTACTACAAATAAACCATTTTTTTCGAGTATTAATTCAGGTTCAGCATACGTATCATGTATCACCCAATTATTTACGAACATTCCCTCATTTACACGTTTTTGTCTACTAAAATATGTTCCTCGAGATCTCATAGGTATCTGTATAGTTTGAGTTTCAATCTCTACTAATTTTCTATGTGAACCAGGTCCAATTGTTTTATATTCGTAATTCTCATTTTCTTTTTGAACTTTTATACCTTCCGGTGTATGTAAATCAGCTACCCGAGGGTCTAATCCAAAAATAAAAAAGGTCTCTGTTTCTTTCAAACAGAGTTTTACAGTTTCAGGTCGAGTCAGAAAAATATTTGGATCGTCACTGAATGAGACAAAAAAATGTTTAAATTTCTATTTTGTCTATTGATTATTTTATTTTTAAATAAAATATTAATATTAATTTTTTGTGAACATATATTATATATGTACAATTTATTTATCAATAAAACTCGTGTATACAAAAAATTTATATTAATATCTTTAAATTGTAGATATGTCCCCAAAAAATTAATTATAATAATATTAATTATTTAATAATTCATTTAATAATTATCTAATTAAAATTTTTTAAATTATCATATTTTTAAAATTACCTAGGTAGATAAAATTGAGGAGGAGCTTCTTCTTTTTCATATATATATTCATCAATTTGAGTAGATAATAAACTTTCAAATAACACATCATCACCTACTACAGTTCCAGAAGGAAGCGAGGATGTTCTGATAATTGCAGATGCACTTCTTATACCGGAAATGATAGATAGTTGTCCAATGCTGACAATTTGAGACAATCCAATTGTTTCAAATGCAGTTATTTGCTTTTCATCGATTGAACTATAAATTTGATGGGTTAATAATTTTGGAGTAACATCGACATCATCTTCTATTATGCGATAAGTCTGACGATTTTGTAAAATAACTGAGGTTAGGTTTTTGCCGGCAATCTTGCGCGTCTTTCCTGTGCTGCTGAGCTTAAATTTTGATGAAACTGGACTTTCAAATCTGCTACTATGACTCCTCGAAGGAAGATGTAACGATTCTAATTCATCCGCTTTCATTCTAATAAAAATATTTTTGTCATAAACTTTTAACATATATACATATATATTACATTTTATCGATACCTATAAACGAATGTTCACAAGAAAATATTAAAGAAATAATTTATATTTATATTTATATTTTGATATTATATTATTATGTTGAAATAAAGTTTCAACTTATTATATTACTTATTCTTTTCGTTTTTCATTTTAAATATTTTTATATTTTATATCTTAGTTACTACATCACTTCATCATGTTTCAAAGAAGAGAATGTATTAAACGATACAGTTGACTAATTCCATGGTGATATAAAAATCAATTTTAGGCATAGTTTCGTTAATATTTTAAATTATTTATAACAATTATCATAACATATTATGATATGTAGTAATAAAAAATGCATCTGAATATGATGATTTTGATTGATTTTTATTTCTTTTATTAATATATGATTATAATTGAGAGTTAAATATGCAATTATTTAATTTATTAATATAAATTTTGTTCTAATCTTTTTTATTACTTAATTATAAAAATACTATATATTTTTAATTATATAACATAATATTTATAATATTTTTATTGATGTAGTAACTAAATAATTAACATGAAATAAAACAAAATTTAATTATAAATACCTATTTAAATTGTATCCACCACGTACTCTATTAAGACATTACGGAACTTGATCGAATTGTATTATATGCACAGTCGATAAAAAGTAATTGTACAATTGAGTAAGATACGGCGTTAATCAAGTGATGGGTTTAAATAAAATTTTAAAATCATAACACGATAATTATAACAGTCAACAAAATTATGTTTGAAAAGAAATAAAACGCGAATCGTTTGTGCGAACAATTGTCAGCCATAACATTACCGTAGATAAGCGCAGACGCACTGACGACAAATCTCTTACGTGTTATTTCGAACATCCGTTTCGTGAAAAATCATGAAAATCATTTAATAGCACTTGCGCATTTGTGACTACGGTATACGTGATACATCAGATCATTTTGGAAATAGAGTTAAGTTAGCGGAAGAATATAAATAATTGCTGAGAGGGCTCCGCAGTCAAAAGACTAAAGTAAGTGACATGAATTGTGTCAGCAATGGCAGATGCAACTCCATTAGTATTTTGACGAGACCTACGATCTTTACTTGCCAAACACACCTAATGAACTTTGTTCATCGTGTAATTTTCGATTAATATTATCATCAAATATTATTCCGTATGTGACAGTTTGATGTTTTCTGCAAGAAACATTTATTAATCTTATTTGTATTTTATCAACTTTTACAGTTCTATCGCGGACATATGACTTCCGATTTTGTTCATGGATACATAATACGTCAGAAAATGCTAATAGATTCAGAAAATACGATGTTAATGATTGTGAATGAAAATTGCACATTTATATGAACAATATTCGTGTTTAATTTTTATTATTATATGATATTTACATTAGATGTTAGTGTCGTTATAGTATACTTATAAAGATTGTCAGTGACTTTTAGAATTGTTTTTCTTTCTTTACAATATTGTCGTCAGTGTTAACTGATAAAAAAGTATAGCTTTGAACGTTGCCTTACGTCAATATAAATTAAATCAAATAGTTTTATTTTTATTTCTTAAATTATATAAGAATTTTTTAAATTTTTGAACAATTAATCTGTGAATTTTTATGACAGATATTTTTTAAGTTCTTGTTAATATCAATTACATTTTCTTTAAGAGTTCTCTAATATGAGTACTACAAGGGAACAAGCTGGACCATCTAAACCATGGGATTCTACTGCAGAAGAGAAAGAAAAGGATAATCGAACATTTGAATGCAATATTTGTCTTGATACTGCAAAAAATGCAGTTATTAGCATGTGTGGTCATTTATTTTGGTAAATTTATTATTAATGATGTATTTATTATTAATAATATATAATGTATATATGTATTATATTTCAATAATAAACATACATTTTTATATTATTCAGTTGGCCTTGTCTGCACCAATGGTTAGAGACACGTCCAACAAGGCAAATGTGTCCTGTCTGTAAAGCTGCAATTAGCAAAGATAAAGTTATTCCATTGTACGGACGTGGAGATACAAGGCATGAAGATCCAAGGTAAATTATATTTTTATTTTTATAAATTAAATGCATAATTATTTAATAATATTTTAGAAATTGAATTTTAAAGATTATTGATTATTATTATTGATTCAGAAATAATGTTCCACCACGTCCTGCTGGGCAAAGAACAGAACCCGAAAATAATATTGGATTTTCTAGTTTTGGTTTTGGAGATGGTTCTTATATGTCATTTGGTATCGGGACATTTCCATTTGCATTCTTTACATCTACTTTTAATTTTGGAGAAACTCGACCAAGTGCAGGTATTTTTTCTTTATAAATTAATTTTATATATAATGCTATTTAATAAAATTGAATTTAATTATGTATTTTTATACAGCTGCTAGAGGAACACCACAATATGAAGAAGAACAATTCCTTTCAAAAGTATTTCTATGGGTGGCTTTGATATTTGTTTGTTGGCTCTTGATGGCGTAACATTTTGTTAAACCATATTATTTGCTCCGTATCTTGTAAACCTGCACCACTTGCTGAATTGATTCATTACATTTTTATTAATACATCGATCTTTCCTCGTTTGTGTAATCGTTGTTACTCGCTACAGTAACTCTATCTGCTTGAATAAACAAACGGATTTTGTTATAAGTGTAATAACATTTTTACTTGTATATACACTTTATTTTTAATTTTTTGTGATTATAATGATTAGTTTAAATGATTAGTTTAAAATAAAAGAAATAAACTTATTATCTAAATGTAATATCACTTATTAATATCACTATTGTTATTAATCATGTAAAAATAATATAGGTTATTTTTTTTAATTGTATTTTATATAAACACGTATATTCAAGCAGGTAAAACTTTTCTGATTTTAGAATTTTTGAGATATTAAACCATTTATTCTTATAATATTTATGTATATAAATATAAATATTATCACTTTTAGACTTATAAGATATATATCATAAGATATATCTATACATTGCATATATGATTAGTTTAAAATAAATCTATTAGATTTATTATATTATTATGGACCTATGGTTTTATTATTATTAATTATTAAAATAAACAGTGTATATAATAATCTAGTTATTAAGACAGTTTGATAACAAATGCAAACAAAATGGAATAAAAATGAATATATATA